ACAGCTCAGCTAACATGCTGGGGTGACACCCTTCCAGCACCAAGCCACCAGCAGTTTTGAGGGGACTGTCAGAAAAAACACAGTGGCCTCCTTTTCCTACCCCATGCCCACCCCCCACATTCCTGAGATGTGTTATCCCTCATGCCACCATGTCAGTCCAACCAGCATTTTTCAGTGGACATTATTTACCAGAAGTTGGGGAAGGACAAACAGGGCAGGATATGGTCCAGGTGATTTTGGCAGCTTGGGTCTGCTTTCTGGCATACAAGCAGGTTTCACCACAGTAGGGCAGACTTCAGGTTAAGATCTCGGAAGTCTACCACACATCCAGCTCAGGGGCTACTACCACGTGCCCCAAAATAATTTTGAGAATAAGGTTTGCCTTTTTTTTGAGACAGAATCTGGCTTCATCATCCAGCCTGGGGTACAGTGGCAAAATCTCAACTCACCAAAACCTCTGCCTCCTGGGTTCAAGAAATTCTCATGCCTCAGCCTCCAGAGTAGCTGGGATTACAGGTGCGTGCCACCATGGCTGGCAAATTTTTTTCTCTTTTTAGTAGAGACAGGGGTCTCACTATGTTACCTCAACATAGTGATCGCTCCTGGTCTCCAGTGATCGGCCTGCCTCAACCTCCCAAACTGTTGGGATTACAGACATGAGCCACTACACCCAGGAATAAAGTTTTAACCTAAGAATTCTGTAACAGAGATCTCACTGTCTGCACCAAAATTAAATTTCAGTGTAATCAACAGCAACTCATCAAGTGACCCAGACAGGGAGAGTGCCTAAGAAGACAAGATGACGAAATGGAATGTGGTGTCCCGGATGGGACCCTGGAACAGGAAAGGACATTAGGAATAACCCAAAGAAATCTGAATGAAGTACAGACTTGGGTTAATAAAAGCATCTCAATAATGGCTCATTATGCCGGGAGCGGTGGCTCAAGCCTGTAATCCCAGCACTTTGGGAGGCCAAGGCGGGTGGATCACGAGGTCAAGAGATCGAGACCATCCTGGTCAACATGGTGAAACCCCGTCTCTACTAAAAATACAAAAAATTAGCTGGGCATGGTGGTGCGTGCCTGTAATCCCAGCTACTCAGGAGCCTGAGGCAGGAGAATTGCCTGAACCCAGGAGGCGGAGGTTGCGGTGAGCCGAGATTGCGCCATTGCACTCCAGCCTGGGTAACAAGAGCGAAACTCTGTCTCAAAAAATAAATAAATAAATAATGGCTCATTAATTTTAATGAATGCACCATACTAATGTAAGAAGTTAATAGGGAAAGCTGGGTACAGGTATATGGGAACTCTTTGTGCTATCTCTGCAATTTCACTCTGACTCTGTCTCTCTCTCTCTCTCTCTCTCTCTCTCTCTCTCTCTCGTGTGTGTGTGTGTGTGTGTGTGTGTGTGTGTAGACATGCAAGAATAGACTGATCCTCCCATCAATGATGATTTGGTGCCTACCAAGTGTCACATACCATGTAAAAGTGATCTCCACGTATCTTCATTTATTCCTCACACCAGTGCTATGAGCTGGGCATAACCTGCATTTTACAGATAAAGAAATTGAAGAACAGAGAGGCTAGGTACCTTGCTCAGAGTCACATGGCAAGGTTAGTGGCAGATAAAGGGCTCAAATTCAGGTTGACAGGACAGCTCAGCAATATTGCCTCAAAAATCCCAAACTGTGAACATAAAACAGTTCAAAACAAGCTTCACGTGGGCAACGAAAACAAGGCACACTTTCCAATCTGCCCTGCTTTAAAAAGAAAGAAATTTAAAAGCACAGCACAGACCAGGCACAGTGGCTCATACCTGTAATCCCAACATTTTGGGAGGCCAAGGCAGTCGGATTATGAGGCCAAGAGATTGAGACCATCCTGGCCAACATGTTGAAACCGTGTCTCTACTAAAAATTTTTTTTTTTTTTTTTTTTTTTTTATATGGAGTTTCGCTCTTGTTCCCCAGGCTGGAGTGCAATGGCGCGATCTCGGCTCACCGCAACCTCCGCCTCCTGGGTTCAGGCAATTCTCCTGCCTCAGCCTCCTGAGTAGCTGGGATTATAGGCACGCGCCACCATGCCCAGCTAATTTTTTGTATTTTTAGTAGAGACGGGGTTTCACCATGTTGACCAGGTTGGTCTCGATCTCTCGACCTTGTGATCCACCCGCCTTGGCCTCCCAAAGTGCTGGGATTACAGGCTTGAGCCACCGCGCCCAGCCTAAAAATTTTTTTAAAAAATTAGCTGGGCATGGTAGCACGCACCTGTAGTCCCAGCTACTCGGGAGGTTGAGGCAGGAGAATTGCTTGAACCCAGGAGGCGGAGGGTGCAGTGAGCCAAGATCGCGCCACTGCACTCCAGCCTGGCAACACAGCGAGACTCCGTCTCAAAAAAAAAAAAAAAAGCACAGCACACCCAAGACAATGACAACACTCAGTGTTGGAGAGGATGTGGAACAAGAACTCCCCTTCATTGCTGGTTAGAATGTAAAAGCAGTCTGGGTCAAGTGCAGTGGCTCACGCCTGTAATCCCAGCACTTTGGGAGGCCAAGGCGGGCAGATCATGAGGTCAAGAGATTGAGACCATCCGGGCCAACATGGTAAAACCCTGTCTCTACAAAAAATACAAAAATTAGCTGGGTGTGGTGGCATGCGCCTGTAGTCCCAGCTACTCGGAAGTCTGCGGCAGGATTGCTTGAACCCAGGAGGCGGAGGTTGCAGTGAGCTGAGATCAGGCCACTACACTCCAGCCTAGCGCCTGGCGACAGAGCAAGACTCTGTCTTTAAAAAAAAAAAAAAAAAAAAAAAGCATGTAAGCTGGGCGCGGTGGCTCAAGCCTGTAATCCCAGCACTTTGGGAGGCTGAGGCGGGTGGATCACGAGGTCAAGAGATCGAGACCATCCTTGGTCAACATGGTGAAACCCCATCTCTACTAAAAATACAAACCAAAAAAAAAAAAAATTAGCTGGGCATGGGTGGCGTGTGCCTGTAATCCCAGCTACTCAGGAGGCTGAGGCAGGAGAATTGCCTGAACCCAGGAGGCGGAGGTTGCGGCCATTGCACTCCAGCCTGGGTAACAAGAGTGAAACTCCGTCTCAAAAAAAAAAAAAAAAAAAAAAAAAAAAAAGAATGTAAAAGCAGTCTGGCAGTTTCTACAGAGCTAACCATAGGTTTACCATATGGCCAGCAATAGCACTCCTAGGCATTTACTCCAATGAGCTGGAAACTTAATGCCCACACAAAACCTGGGCATGAATGTTTAGAGCAGGTTTATTCAGTTGCCAAAGATTGGAACCAAGTAAAATGTCCTTCAATTGGTGCATTAGATAAAACTATGGTACATCCATACAATGCAACATTATTCAATGATCAAAAGAAATGAGCTGGCCAGGTGTGGTGGCTCATGCCTGTAATCCCAGCACTTTGGGAAGCCAAGGCGGGAAGATGGCTTGAGCCCAGAAACTCTAGCTCAGGAGTTCCTGCCTGTAGTCCCAGCTACTCAGGAGGCTGAGGGGGGAAGACTGCTTGAGCTTGGGAGGTTGCGGCTGCAGTGAGCCATGATCATGCCACTATACTCCAGACTGGGTGACCGGGCAAGGCCTCATCTTAAAAAAAAAAAAAAAAAACCCTCAAATAAATAATAAATAAATAAGCTGGGCGTGGTGGCACACAGCTGTAATCCCAGCTACTCAGGACGGTGAGGCAGGAGATTCACTTTAACCCAGGAGGTGGAGGATGCAGTGAGCAGATATTGCACCATTGTACTCCAGCCTGGGTGACAGGGTGAGATTCCATCTCAAAAAAATTTTAAAAAGTCCCTAAGGAATTCTCCATGTTTCTATCTTATAATAATCATGGGCATTTATTTTTAAAAAGAGAAAAAGGAAAAGAAAGAGCTAATAAGCTGCAAGAAGACCTGGAGGAGTTCAGACACAGTCACTCACACCTGTAATCCCAGCACTTTGGGAGGCTGAGGTGGTAGAATTTCTTGAGGCCTGGACTTTGAGACCAGCCTGGGCAGCATGGCAAAACCCTGTCTCTACAAAAAATACAAAAAATTAACCAGGCATGGTGATGCACACCTGTTGTCTTAGCTACACAGGAGGCAGATGGAAGGATCACCTGAGCCTAAGAGGTTGAGGCTGCAGTGAGATGTGACTGTGCCCTTGCACTCCAGCGTGGTTAAGAGTGAGACTGTCAGGCTGGGCGCAGTGACTCAAGCCTGTAATCCCAGCACTTTGGGAGGCCAAGGCGGGTGGATCACGAGGTCAAGAGATTGAGACCATCCTGGTCAACATGGTGAAACATCGTCTCTACTAAAAATACAAAAAATTAGCTGGGCATGGTGGCACGTGTCTGTAATCCCAGCTACTCAGGAGGCTGAGGCAGGAGAACTGCCTGAACCCAGGAGGCGGAGGTTGCGGTGAGCCGAGATCGTGCCATTGCACTCCAGCCTGGGTAACAAGAGCGAAACTCTGTCTCCAAAAAAAAAAAGAGTGAGACTGTCTTAAAAAAAAAAAAAAAAAAAAAAAGACATGGAGGAATCTTATATGCACAACAAATGAAAGAAGCCAGTCCGAAAAAAATTACATACTGTATGATCCAACTATATGACATTCTGGAAAAGGCAAAACTAAAAAAGATCAGTGATAATCAGGTTGGAGGGAGGAGTGAACAAGGGGAACCCAGAGGATTTTTAGGGCAGTGAAACTATTCTGGATGACACTTAATGTGGATACATGATATTATGCATTTTGGCAAAATACACAGAATGTGTAAGAGGAAGAACGAAGCCTAATGTAAACTAGACTTTAGTTAATAAAAATGTAATGTTCGTTTATTAAATGTATCATCCTAATAAAAGTTGTTCACAGTTGGAAAAACTGTGAGTGGGGTGTGAGTGTGGAGTATATGAGAACACTGTGGTTTCTGCTCCATTTTTCTGAAAAATAGAGAAAAATAGATGTTTTTTTAAAAAAGTCTATTTTTAAAAACCCATACAGCATATTAAACAATTTATTAGAAGCAGAATATCAATAATCCTGGTGAAAGTCTACAACCATGTCAGAACATAACCTAACTCCCTTGATATGTACAATCTCAAAAAATCAGGCATGGGTACTAAGCAGACAGCAAAAACCCAACATTCAAATCACAGCAAAGTCATTCCATACAAAAAGACAAAAGAACTCTAAACCAGGAGGCTTGCCATGTCTCTCCCAAAGTTAGGAAGTGGAAGTTTAGCTAAGGCCTGAAAGGCATCCTTAATCTTGATGTTTTTCATTTCAACAAGAAATTCTGAAAACATCTCAACATTTCTGAGTGATGGAAGTAGGTATCATCTTCTCTAGCCAAGGGAAATGGATATAGTGGTATCTAAATGTTTGAGTGGTGTCCAAAGCAGAAAGGGAGCTGTTGTCTTTCCGGGGCCACGGTGCCTGCTGTTAGGAAATGCCATTTGAACTTGCAAACTGGTTATGGTAGTTGCTGATGAAGAAGATGAGGAGCCATGTCATTCCTTTTTTACACAGTCTGCCTTCCTGCCCATAACCACACTTCAATCACCACGGGCAATGACTGAGATAAATTTTGCATCGTGAAACAGGGACGCAGCAGTAATGGAAAAAGTATCATCAGGCATAAAATTTGGAAAATGCAACATGAGACCTCTGTGTCCAAGAGAAAAAGAGAGAGAATTAACACACACACACCAGGAAGCCAAAAGCATCTGCTTTTCATCAGCAAACACAGGCAAAGCAAGGGGCAGCAGAGGCTAACACTGAAGTATCCCAGGATTTAAACATTCCTACATCCAGACTCCTTGGTCAACCAAAGCAAGGCTCTCTGAGAAACTTTTGAAAAATACGCACTGAAAAATGTCTACGAAATCCACGTCATTATAAGCTTCTAAATCGTTCCAGGATTTTGGTTGTTTTTAATGACAGTTTCAAGATCATCTAAGGAATATTCCGGTGTAGATCTTCCACTTCCAGCTCCCACATACTTTCATGGATAGGATTATCAGAAAGGTCTGTCATCTTCACAGCCTGCAGGCATGGTTCGGGGCTGCAGGCCTGCACCACTCCCATCACCATCACATACTTCCCTAGAAAAAGAAGAAAAGCCCATAGTAATGTTCTCTCTTTTTTTTTTTTTTTTTTCTTTTGAGACAGTCTCACTCTATTGCCCAGGCTGGAGTACAGTGGCGTGATCTCGGCTCCTTGCAACCTCCGCCACCTGGGTTTAAGCGACTGTTGTGCCTCAGCCTCCTGAATAGCTAGGATTACAGATGCCCGCCACCACACCTGGCTAATTTTTGTATTCTTAGTTGAGACACGGTTTCACCATGTTGGCCAGGCTGGTCTGGAACTCCTGTCCTCAGGTGATCCACCCATCTTGGTCTCCCAAAGTGCTAGGATTACAGACCTGAGCCACTGTGCCCAACCATCTTCTTTGGTTTCTGATTTTACTAGGCAAAACAAAACTGTCATGTAAACTGTAATCATGCCCAAGGAATGGAGACACTTCCATCAGAGTGTAAGTTATAATTAGACAGGCTGCTCTGAGGCAGGGGCAGAAAACCTCAGCTTTCCTCTAGTCCCGTTCCTTGCTCAATGCTACAGAGTATGTGACTGGTCTCTGTGCACAAGATGCATCCTCTTTCTGCAGACACCCTCTGACAGTTACCAAGCAAATCCAATTTTCCTTCCACGTTGCCAAAAAGGCTGGGCAGGCAGCCCCTGCCCCGCTGTTCCAACTGCTGGGACCGATACCTGCCACCTCAGCACATACAAGCAAATCCACACAAGGGCAAGCTGCCACTGGATGATCCAATGACATATTTGACTGTGACTTGCTTCCCATTCCCTTCGGAAAGTGACTCTCCTTCAAAGCAAAAATTGCCAGTCTCAACCATACAAAACCCGATTGTGTAAAAGAAAACTCCAAACACTGCAGGAAGGACAAGCCTGGTGGAGCCCCACTGCTTGCCCCTATGAGGCTGCTTTCATTGCACTGTATGTGGGGCCTGGGGCTTTGAGAAGAAAGCCAGACAAGCTGACCACCTGATCCCGCCATTCAACCTCAGGCAGGATGTGCTCAGGTTTCTCAGAGCTCCTCCCCACAATCCACTTGGGTCCCTCGGTAAGAGGCCAGTTCTGAAAATGCACTTGCTGTCCCCTCTGAATGGGCCTAAAGCGCTGGTAGGGTTGGAACCGACAGAAGTAGAACTGAAGGCCCAGGAAGAGAAGAACAAGCCCAAGGACATTCCGACCAGGAGGGAACAGGAGCTCTCCTAGGAAGGCACACACAGCCAGCCGGGTGACCTCAAAGGCATGCCATGAGACAAACTGGCCCGAGAGGTTCTACCCACACCCTCTCCCAGCTCTCCATTCTGTCCCTCCCTTTCCTTCCCGCACCCCCACCCCCCAGTTGCCATGACCACTCCAATGGTTCCCAGCCCATGTTCTGCCGGCTTCTTCCACTTCAAAACAATCCCCACCCCACTGCTGCAGTCAACATTCTGGAATCCACCTCCTGCCTCCAGAACTCAGTTGACCGCAGCATAATCTAGGTAGGCATGGTTTCTCTGCTTCCCCTGCAGACAAAGAGCAGCTTGAGGACTGGGAGAGCTTCTCATTCAACTCAGCATCTTTAGCACCTTAGGTTTATGGAAACAAACTCCTGGATGTTCCAGAGGAAGAGGCAGTGAGGAACAGCACTAGAGTAGCACTGCAGTGAGCAGAGTCCAAGGCCACCTTGAAGCAGGCAGGTCCTTCCAGACAGCCACTGAGGCTCATCAGGATAGAGCCCTCCTTCCTTCCACCGCTGCCCCAGGCTCCCCAAATGCACAGGGCTCTAACCCCTCCAAGCCTTTGCAAAGGCTGTTCCATGGAGCTGCACAATCTCCTGCCACTGCACCCAGACAGAGAGTGCCCCACTGTCCCAATTTTAATACTGAAAGCCCCATGTCCCAGGACCCTCTCAGTCCCAGGCAACCCAGGAGGGTTGGTCCTTACAGGTAACTCCAGTGCATCCTTCAGGGCTGCCTCTTCCAGGAAGCCTTCCCTGAGCCCTCAAGCCTGGATCAGCTGTCCCTCATCTGCACCACCTGGCTCTTGCCTGCAATGTTACTTTGTGTTTTAGTGGCCTGCTTACCTCCCTGCCTCCCTGCCTGAAGGCAGTGACTCAATTTTGTCAAGCTGGACTTGGTATTACTTAACCAGAGGAAATGGCATGGCCCCTGCCAGCTGGCATTCAGGCCAGTGGGTATGTCAGACAAGTTCACCAATGCCCATTGGTTCAAACAATGAAGTATTTACTAGATGCCAGGCTTATGCCAGGGCTGATACCAGACAGGAGACTGTCCCAGCCTGCCTACAAGGGGCTTTGCCTGCAAGCCAACACACCAAGCAGCATGGGTTATGTGCTGGGCAAAGGCTGAGGGAAAGGGTTGGCAAACATTTTCTGTAAAGGGCCAGACAGTAAACATTTTGTCCCAAATGCTCAACTCTAGCTGTAGTGGGACACTGGCAGAGGCATTCTGTAAATTACCAATGTATTCCAATAAAACTTTACTTATGGTGGGGAGCAGTGGCTCACACCTGTAATCCCAGCACTTTGGGAGGCCGAGACAGGTGGATCACCTGAGGTGGGAGTTCAGGATCAGCCTGATCAACATGGAGAAACCCCATCTCTACTAAAAATACAAAAAATCAGCCAGGTGTGGTGGTGCATGCCTATAATCCCAGCTACTTGGGAGGCTGAGGCAGAATTGCTTGAACACAGGAGGCGGAGGTTGCAGTAAGTCAAGATTGTGCCATTGCATTCCAACTTGGGCAACATGAGTGAAACTCCATCTCAAAAAAAAAAAAAAAAACTTATGGATACTGATGCTTGAATTTCATATACTTTTCACATGTCATTATTTCACTTTCAACCATGTAAAAATGTAAAAACCCGCCAGGCACAGTGGCTCATGCCTGTAATCCCAGCACTTTGGGAGGCTAAGGTGGGTGGATCACTTGAGGCCAGGAGCTCAAGACCAGTCTGGCCAAAATGATGAAACCTTGTCTCCACTAGAACTACAAAAATTAGTCAGGCGTGATGGTGCACACCTGTAATTCCAGCTACTCAGAAGGATGAAGCACGAGAATCACTTGAATCTGGAAGGCAGAAGTTGCAGTGAGCTGTGACTGTGCCACTGCACTCCAGCCTGAGACACAGAGCGAGACTCTCTCAAAAATAAAAATAATAGGAATAAATAAAAGTTTAAAAAGCATTTTTAGTTCAGAGGACATGTGAAAAGAGGAGGCCTGTCGTTTGCTGACCCTGTACTAAACCAGCACTGGGGCTGAGAGCAGACAGAGGGAAGGCTGAAGGGCAAGGCAGTAGGGGGAGGGAACAGGAGCATGTTCTGTACCCTCACTATGAGCTAGGCGCAGTGTTAAGGCAATTGTTTACTTACTGAATGTACACAACAGGCAAGGATGATTAGCTCCTTTTTACAAGAGTACAAACTCAGAAGAGTTAACAAAAGTGCTCCAGGCAGCTCAGCTGGGAAGGGGTGGAGCCAGGAATTCACCTAAGCCTATCTGAGTCCAAAGCAGCTCAGGCCAGACCACCGACCTATCTGCCTCTAGTTAAGACTCCAAGACTGAGCAGGAGGGTCCCTTAGGAATGAAGAGATCTTGGCCTGATCTCCCAGGGGAGGGAGCCGAGGGGAGGGAAGGCTCACGTATCCTCAGACCTCCTCAGCTTAGATCTCACATCCTCTAGAAGCCTCTGAGGGCCACTCAGCACCTTGTACATCCTCATGGCTCCCCCAGGGATCAGCGATCCTCTGGGACAGACACTCACTGCCTATCTCCCGGCAGGCTTTATCTGGGTCTCCGCGGCAGCCCAGCACTACACGTGGGGGGGCTGATGTATAACACCTGCTCCACTGACATCTCAGTGAACAAGTGAGATGGATGTCCACTGCCTGTCACTCAAGATAATTGGTTCTTGGAGCACTTATGTGTCAGGCACGGGGCCAGATGCTGAGGATACAGTTTTCAGGACCACACAGCTCTGGCCTTCCAGAAGTTCAGCCTGGCCCAATGGTTCTCAAAGTATAGCCCCCAAACACCAGGCATGGTGGTGCAGGCCTGTAGTCCCAGCTACCCAAGGAGGCTGAGCAGGAGGATTGCTTGAGCTCAAGGCCAGCCTGGGCAACACAGTGAGTCCCCTATCTCAAATAAATAAAACATTTTTTAAAGTCCAAAGTAGACCAGCAGCATCAGCCTAGCATGGGAGCTAGTTAGAAATGCAATTTCCAGCCCCACCTGGACCTTGTGACTCAGGAACCCTGAGGATGGAGCCCGAGCCATCCCAGCTTTAGCAAGCCCTCCAGGAGAGACAGATACAAGCTCAAGTTTGAGCATCGGTGGCTTAAGAGAGGAAGCAGGCAGGGCGCGGTTGCTCATGCCTATAATCCCAGCACTTTGGGAGGCCGAGAAGGGCAGATCACTTGAGGCCAGGAGTTCGAGACTAGTCTGGCAAACATCGAAACCCAGTCTCTGCTAAAAAAAAAAAAAAGAAAAAAAAAAAAAGAAAAAAAAAATAGCCAGGTGTGGTGGCATATGGCTGTAATCCCAGCTACTTGGGAGGTTGAGGCATGAGAATTACTTAAATCAGGGAGGTAGAGGCTGCAGTGAGCCGAGGTCGTGCCACTGCACCCCAGCCTGGGTGACAGAGTGAGACTCCGTCTCAAAAAAAAAAAAAAAGGAGGGGAGGCAAACATGCTCGCGCTCCAGCCCAGGGCAGTTCAATGAAGGAGCAGTACAGGAGGGTCTCCCTTTCCTAGGGGTTAGGGAGGACTGAGAAAGGAACATTTGAGTTGAGACGTTAAGGATGAGCAGAAGTTCCCGGGACAGTATTTCCCAAAATTTGAGGGCAAACAAGGAAATCAACTGGGGGAGGGGGCTTGTGACAAATGCAGGTGCCGGGGTCCCTCCCCAGAAGATTCCCACTAGGAGGTGGAAGAATCCCGGGAATCTGTATTTGTTAAAGGGACTGCAGGTGATGCTTAGCATCAGATCAACTTGACCAAGGAGGGACCGGAGCAAGGGTACCGCAGGGGCAGAGGCCCGGAGGTAGGGCAGCCCACGCCGCGCCCCGCCCCCTTTCGAGTGTCAAGACCGGGTGTAAAGAATCTGGCCTCGATAACTTGTCGGCCGACAGCAGGGAAGAGGGCACCCAGTGAGACCGGGGCATTACCTGGGACGAGGCAGGGCCGCCCGCGCGGCACCCGCTCCAGGCCGCGGACCGAGAAGGCCCCGCTCGGGTCCCGCAGCCTGGCCTCGCCGCGGTCCGCCATCACCACCGTGCCCTGCATCCACACGACCGCCAGCTCCAGCGGCCCGCGGCCCACCGCCGCCCGAGACAGGCGCCACGCGCCCGGGCCGCCCTCCGCATCTCGCCGCAGCTGCTCTGCCAGCACCTTGAGTGGCGGCGACCTTGGCAGCCGCACCGCCGTGGGGCCGCCTGAGAACGAGTCCGCAGCCGCCGCCATTCAGCCGTGCAGCTGCTCTCCCGCCAACTTTGAGAAGCAGAGGAGCCCGGCCTCAGCCTCCAATCAGGAGCGCGCTAGCAGAGCTGGCCAATGGGCGACGTCAGAAGGCGGGACCGCCTGGCGGAGCAGCCCCCGCAATCAGCCAGGAGTGCGCATGCGTAGAAAAAAGTAAATGCAGGAAGTCATAGATAATACTAAAGAAACATCTGCAAGTTACAAATGAATTGAAGAAATGGGTTAAATTAGAATAAATAAGGGAAGACAGAGAGGCAAAGAACTTCCTCTTTCTGGCCGGGCCCAGTGGCTCATACCTGTAATCCCACCACTTTGGAAGACTGAGGTGGGTGGATCACCAGAAGTCAGGAGTTCAAGACCAGCCTGATCAATATGGTGAAACCCCGTTTTTAACAAAAAAAATAATAAAGAACGTGATTATTCATTTTTAACAATAATAATAATAATAATAACGTGATTATTCATTTTCAAATTGCCTTGTTTTGAGGTTAGTAAATACTGACACAAATGAAAAGCCCGTGTTTATTGGGAGTGATCAAGAATCCAGTCAGGCGATAAGGCTGGGGAGGGAGATGGGAACAGCTGGAAAACTTGCCCTTTCTTTTATTATTATTTTCATTTATATTTTAATAGCATCAAATAATTTTAAGGTTAACAAAATATATTGCTATTTTTCACAAAAGAAATGTACATTTATTGTAAAAAAAATTAGAAAAGGAAAAAATGTACAATAAGAAAATAATTGTAAAAACTGCTTATAGATACCCACTGTTAATTTTGGAGTGTATTAGCCTCCAGGTTTTAAAGTGTAAGAGTGTGTGTGTGTGTGTGTGTGTGTGTGTGTGTGTGTATTTTTGAGACAGGGTCTCATTCTGTTGCCCAGGATGGAGTGCAGTGGCACAATTACGGCTCACTACAGCATCCACCTCCCGGGCTTAGGTGATTCTGCCACCTCAGCCTCCTGAGTATCCGGGACTACAGGTGTGCACCACCACGCCCAGCTAGTTTTTGTATTTTTGTAGAGGCAAGGTTTTGCCGTGTTGCCCAAGATGATCTTGAACTCCTGGGATCAAGCAATCCTCTCTCCTTGGCCTCTCAAAGCGCTGGGATTACAGGTGTGAGCCACCACACCTGGCCTATTACTGACATACAAAGATTGTTTTGTGTATTGTTTTCACTTAATAATGAGCATCTTTCCATATCACCAAATATCCGTCTGCTTTCTCTTGAATGACTGCATAATACTCGATTTGTCTCATCACATATTAAACCAATATCCCATAGTTGGACATTAAGGCTATTTCCAATTTTTTGCTTTATAAATACAGCCACTGTGGACCTACTTAAAAGCTAAATCTTTGTGCACATCTTTCAAATAAAATTCCCAGAAATTTCTCCCTAAAGATTGCATGTCCCCAGTCAGCAAAGTCCACAAATCCTAAATCAGGCATTCAAAAAAGTCAACGTCAGTCCTTAAGAGAGACTTTGGGGGCAGGGCGCGATGGCTCACACCTGTAATCCTACCACTTTGGGAGGCGGAGGTGAGTGGATGACCTGAGGTCAGGAGTTTTATTTATTTATTTATTTTATTTTGTAGAGACGGGTTTTCTCTATAAAAATAAAATAAAAAGGAGAGAGAGACTTTGAATTCCCAGGGCCTCCTGCAGTACCAGCCATTCAGAGAGTGTTCAGCAAGAACTTGATTTTTTGTTGTTGTTTTTGAGAGGGAGTCTCACTCTGTTGTCCAGGCTGGAGTGCAGTGGCACGATCTCAGCTTACTGCAACCTCTGCCTCCCGGGTTCAAGCGATTCTCTTGAGTAGCTGGGACTACAGGTGCACACCACCACGCCCAGCTAATTCTTGTATTTTTTAGTAGAGATGGGGTTTCACCATATTGGCCAGGCTGGTCTCAAAACCCTGACCTCATGATCCACCCACCTTGGCCTCCCAAAGTGCTGGGATTACAGGTGTGAGCCACTGCACCCAACCAAGAGTTTGATTTTTATAAAATTGAGCCAGGCCCTGTTGTAAGAACTTTGTAGGAAGTATCCCATGTACCCCAAAGACCCTGAAAAAACTCTGTCCTACACAAGTGAGGAAACTGAGGCTTAAGGAAGCTAGGCGGCTTGACCATAAACTCTCAGCAGCCTCTATGAGGCTTTGGCCTCTACACCTAATATGATTTGGCTGTGTCCCCACCAAAATCTCATTTTGAATTGTACTTCCCATAATCCCCACATATCGTGGGAAGGACCCTATGGGAGGTAGTTGAATCAGGGGGTCACATACCCCCATGCTGTTCCTGTGATAGTGAGTTCTCACGAGATTTGATGGTTTTATACGGGGCTGTTCCCCCTTTGCTCAGCACTTCTCCTTCCTGCTGCCATGTAAAGAACATGTTTGCCTCCCCTTTTGCCATGATTCTAAGTTTCCTGAGGCCTCCCCAGCCCTGAAGAACTGTGAGTCAATTAAACCTCTTTCCTTTATAAATTACCCAGTCTTGGGAAGGTCTTTATAACAGTGTGAGAACAGACTAATACAACATCTCAACCCTACCTATGAAGTAACCTGGCTTCTGGGCTGAGAAGGGAGCAGGAACATCACCAAGTGGCTGCTCACCAGCGAGACCTCGTCTATTCAGGGAGCCTTTCTTGAGCCCCACCATTGGAATTAACCTCTTCCTTCCAGACCAGTTTGCTGGTGCCCCAATTCAGTTTCCCAACCTCATTTCTACTGACATTTGGGGCTGGATAATCTTTGTTGTGGAGGCTGTGCTGTGCACTGTAGGACGCTGGGCAGTATCTCTGCTCTCCACCCACTAGACACCGTAGCACTCTTCTCAAGTTGCAACAACCAAAATATGTCTTCAGACATTGCCACTGTCCCATAGGGTGCTAAATCACCTCTATGGAGAACCACTGTCCTAAGCTGCAATACTCACTGATAAATAGTTGAATCTGTGTCTATCTTACCAGTAAAGCCTGGGGTCTCAAACTAAGTTGTCAGCAGCCGACAGACAGGTAACCCTGGTGTAGCAGGGACAAACTGACCTTCTGATGTCATGGCAAAGGAGTCCATCACACTCAGCCAATGGCTGTCATGCACTGTTGCTAGATCTGATTTTTCTTTTTTTTGTTTTTGTTTTAAACGGAGTCTCACTCTGTCACCCAGGCTGGAGTGCACTGGCACGATCTCAGCTCACTGCAACTTCCACCTCCCAGATTTAAATGAGTCTCCTGCCTCAGGCTTCCAAGCAGCTGGGACAACAGACGCCTGCCACCATGTCTGGGGAACTTTTCATATTTTTAGTAGAATTGGGGTTTCCACCATGTTGGCCAGTCTGGTCTCGAACTCCTGACTTCAGGTGATCTGCCCTCCTCAGCCTCCCAAAGTGCTGGGATTACAGGTGTGAGCCACCGTGCCTGGCTCAAAACATTCCCATGTATAATCTCCATGTTTAAAAAAAAATGCTGGCAATGAATTCAATTCTAAAATAAAGGAACAAACAGAAACCATGTGCCCCTGAAAGTCATTTGTGGAATGACTCTCACCCATGGGCTGCCAATCTGCAAATTCTCTCTAGAATGTCAGCTCTGCTCCAGGCACCAAGGCAGCCTGCGTGTTCACTAATTTGCAGCTCCTTAAATCTCCTACAAAATACCCAAGAGGCTACAGTGTTTCACCAGCTCCAGGAGTTGCAAAATCAGCATCTTAAATTAGAGTCATGAGCAGACAACTGGGGTCTGTTGACACATGTTGAGTGAGTCTCCCTTCCAGGGACAATTATCCCCCATCCCCCACACCACAATCCTTCACCCTCATGCTCAGGCCTGAAGCAACCCCCTGTGCCAGCTTCCCCGAGCCCCAGCTTCCCAGTGAGATCAAAGATCTTAGAAGGGGGTTTCCTGCCATCCGCACCAGTGAGAACAAAGGTAATATGGGAGGAACTGTAGGCCTTGGCATTATTCTCGACCTGCCCGTTCACCAGTTCCCAGGCCAATCAGGCCAAAATGCTTCTGGTTTCCAGAAACAAAGAACCCTACTGCCCTAAGAAAATGGGTTGTTCTAGGCCGGGCGCAGTGGCTCACATCCCAGCACTTTGGGAGGCCAAAATGGATGGATCATCTGAGGTTAGGAGTTCAAGACCAGCCTGGCCAACATGGAGAAAACCTTTCTCTACTAAAAATACAAAGATTAGCTAGGCATGGTGGCACATGCCTGTAATTTCAACTACTCAGGAGGCTGACATAGGAGAATTGCTTGCACCCAAAAGGTGGAGTTTGCAGTGAGCCGAGATCATGCCACTTTACTCCAGCCTGGCACCTGGCGACAGAGCAACACTTTGTCTCAAAAAAAATAATAATAATCAATAATTTAGAGGTTTTAAGTCTCCAAAAGAGATTTTCAAATGTAAATATATTAGTGGTTAGAGATGAGATTTTTTTTTTTTTTTTTTTGAGACGAGTTTCGCTCTTGTTGCCCAGTCTGGAGTGCAATGGCATGATCTCAGCTCACTGCAACCTCCGCCTCCCAGCTTCAAGCCATCTCCTGCCTCAGCCTCCCAAGTAGCTGGAATTACAGGCATGTGCCACCATGCCCAGCTAATTTTTTATATTTTTAGCAGAGACGGGGTTTCTCCATGTCAGGCGGATCACCTCGGCCTCCCAAAGTGCTGGGATTACAGGCATGAGCCACCGTGCCCAGCCTATAGACGAGATTTTTAGGAAACCTCTTCCATGCCTGCATCCTGTTGTAATGGTTGTATCATCTTTTCTTCCAGCTGCTTTCCTTTGCCTGCAAGAAGGGTCAAGATAAGACGAGTTTTGCCTGACTTCTTTGATGTCCTGAACTTTCTGTAGTCCTTTATTTTTCTTCAATTTGTTCATTACAAATTTAGTTTGACATTCGTTTGATCTTTTCAACTGTCTTCATTGCATCAGTAGTTTTATTCCATAGTTCTTGCTGGTATTTGACAGGTTCATTTCTACATTTTTCAAATTCAAAT